CGTATCCTGAGGGGGGGGGCAGCTGCAGAGCAAACCCTGGGCTGGGCCAGAAGGCCAGGCACTGCTCCCAGCCCTGCTGTGGGCCTGTTGTGCAAGCCCCTCACCCCGAGCCCCTGTTTCCCTGTGGGAACCCAAGACAGGAGCAGCAGAGCATGATGGGAAACGCTCGGGTTTATTCTAACCTGGACCCTTGGCCTGGCCCCACTGTTGTCACCTGCTGGCCGTGGGCAAGTCACTTCACCTCCCTGGGGATAAACACTGGCCATCCTTTGGGTTTGGTTGGGTCACTAGAAGCAGGCCTGGGAACCAGAGATTTGTATGCAAGGGACATACTATGAAGGTGTTCTCCAGAGAGGCTAAAGGGGCAGAAGCAGGGGGGAGGGGAGACCTCCAGAAGGGTGTGGCCCAGGACAGGAGCCAGCCTCAGCCAGGTTCCCAGGGGAACACCGGGTGGGAGTGGCAACTCCAGTTCTCCCCTCTGGGCCAAGGAAGCTGGGATGCCACACTCCTCAGTCACGCCTCAGAGCCACCCCCAAGGTGGCCTAGCACTTTGGGAGCTTAGTGGATCCTTGAAAAGAATCACAGATATATTTGCTTAAAAGAAAGGCACACCAGGATGGTTAGCTGGTGTGGGGTGCAGTCGGAGAGGAGGAATAACCACTATGCTCAGCAGCACAGTAGGAAGACTGTGGCTGACAGCAATGAATTGTATATTTCAAAATAGCCACAGGAGAGAATTTTGAATATTCCAATATATACCAGCACAAAGAAATTGGTAAATGTCTGCTGCGATGGCTCTGCCAATTACCCTGATTTGATCATTACACAGCATATACATGTATTACAAGGTCACACCGTACCGCGTCAATACGTACCATGATCATGTGTAAACAAAAAATAGACTTAATGCCAGGTGCAATGGCCCACACCTGTAACCCCAGCAGCTTGGGAGGCTGAGGTAGGAGGATTGCAAGGGGCCAGCCTTGGCAACTTAGCAAGTTCCTGTCTTAAAATAAAAAATAAAAACAACTAGAGGTGGGGTTGTGGCTCCGGTGGCAGAGTACTTGCCTAGTATGTGTGAGGCATTGGGTTCAATCCCCAGCACCACATAAAAATAAACAAATAAATAAAGGTATTGTGTCCATCTACCAAAAAAAAAAAAAAAAAAAAAAAACTGGAGATGTATCTCCAGGATAGGGCATCCCTGGGTTCAGTTCCCAGTGAAAATAAATAAAATTTTTAAAAATATTTTTTTAGTTGTAGATGGACACAATGCTGTTACTTTACTTATTTATTTTTATGTGGTGTTGAAGAAAGAACCCAGGGCCTCACGCTTGGCAAGTGTTCTACCACTGAGCCACAACCCCAGCCCACAAATGCATAAATTTTTAAAAATTTTAAAAGGAAGCCCATGGAAGCCAGGGGTGGGTACAGGAAATAGGGACCCGGGAGATCCAGACAAGCCCCAGTGTCCTCTCTACACCCCGTGGGGTTGCTACCAGGACTAAGTGACAGAACTCACTAAGCCCCTAGCCTGGCAAGTGATGGGAGCTCACAAGGGAGGATCTGCAGCCCCTGGGACCGTGGGCAGACTGGACTAGTGGGTGCGCGGGCCCAGGCTGACCCTCTGAGGCTGCGGGTTCCGAGGTTCCTCACTGGGCCTTGCGGAACCCTTCCCCTTCCCCTGCAGCTGCAGTCTATGGTGGATCTCCTGGAGGGCGCTCTGTACAGCATGGACCTGATGAAAGTGCACGCCTATGTCCACAAGGTGGCCTCCCAGATGGACACACTGGAAGAGGTAAGGACCGGCTCCTGCCAGGGCCAGGCTAGTGCAGTGCTGGGGGCTCAGGGCAGGGTCCACCTGGGCAATTCTGGCTTGATCCTGGGGGGCTTTGGGATCTGGACTCCAGGAGGGATTTGGAGGAGGGAGGCGTAGCCCACGGGGTCCAGCCTTTGGAGAAGAGGTCTGATTGCAGCTCCAGGGCCTATAGGGAGCTGGAAGCTTGGATGGGGAAACCAAGGCACCTGCTGTTGTAGGAGAGAGGTGCACAGGGACTGGCACTTGCAGTTGCCCCCAGTGAGCCAAGGTCAGGCTCAGGCCCCATGCTGCATAGCTCTGAGGGAATCACTCACAGAAGTGGCCAGGTCGGTGGTGCCTGCTGGATGGACACAATATGGCAGGTCTGGCTAAGCTGGCTGGGGCTGGACTCAGGACAGTATGACTGTCCCAGAACCATCCGTGGGGAGACCGAAGTGCTAACTATCCTGCCTGTTCAGGGTAAATCTGCTGTAGGGCTGGGCAGACAGCCAGGACTGCCCTCTGGGGACAGGGAGAGCCTTAGATGAGCGTGGGGGTCCAGGCTGCAGGCTCAAGGGTTGCTGGCCTCTCTGCTGGCATAGCCTGGCCTCCTCCCATTTCCTGCATCCGGTCTCTGCTGAGCCACTGGGTGTCTGGGAGCCTGTAGCTGCCAGGAGCAGGCGTGGGGGCTTCCTTTCCCAGCTTCCTTTACAGAGAGAGAGGGCACCTGGGCATCCTGTGCCCCAGAGTGGGAGATTAACCCCTTAGCCTAAAGCTTTGGTCACAGTGGCTTTAATGATTCAAAAAGTGTTTGATGAGGTCCACTGTTGGCCAAGCCCAGGCCTGCGTGGGGGAGAGCTCACACTTGTTGAATTTGTTCTGTGCACCTGTATTTCCTGGGTACCTGGCACAATCCAGGCTCTGCTGGTGCCAGCTCTGAGGCTCTCCTCCTTTGACCTTTCCTCTTGTAATCTCAGGAAATACTCACCCACTACACGTAACTGAGCCAGATGATCTGGAAGGTAATCTGCAGAGCCTGGAACAAATCAGAAATGATTTCCACAGCCACAGAGAAATGATTGTTTAATTGTCTTCTGTTTTGCATTATCAGTGCTATGTTTTTGTTAACCGTGGTTTGCTAAGTGATAAACCTATGGGACAAAAAACAGCTCTTTGCTATCTCTGGGAGGGAGTGGAGAGAACAGTCTTTCTCAGGAGAAGCTGGCTCCCTCTGCCAAAGGGAGGACGCAGCCAGGGTGGCAGGTAGCAATGTGGGGTCCCGGCTTTCCTCTGTTCTCCTCCACCAGTGGTTCTCAGCCAGGTGTGATTTTGCCCCCCTCAGCCAGCAATATCTGGAGACATCTTGGGTTGCCAAGATGCCACTGGCTTTTCGTGGGTAGAGGCCAGAGATGCTGCTAAATACCCTGCAATGTGCAGGACTGTCCCCAGCAACAAACGGCCACCTGGCAAATGTCAATAGTGCTGACTATTGTGGAGAAGTCTGCCTGACACTTTTCAACTTCTGCCTTAACTGTCATCACAGTTTAAAATGCACGTGCCCCCAACCTAGATGCCCATCAATAGATTTATGGGTAAAGAAACTGTGGTTTATATACACAATGGAATATTACTCAGCATTAAAAGTGAATTAAAATTACGGCATTTGTAGGTAAATGGAAGGAGATGGAGAATATTATGCCAAGTGAAGTAAGCCAATCCCCAAAAACCTAAAGGCCGAGTGTTTTCTCAGATTAGTGGTTGTTAATCTATGATGGGGGGTGGGTGGGGGGATGGGAAGAATGAAGGAACTTTGGGTGGGGCAAAGGGGAGGGTGAGAAGGGGTTATCGGGAAAAGATGGTGAATGATGGAAAGATGGTGGAATGAGATGGTCATCATTACCCTGGTACATGTATGATTGCAGGAATGGTGCGTCTCTACGTCATGTACAATCAGAGAATTGAAATGTTGCGCTCCATATGTGTGTGCGGTGAATTGAAATGCATTCTGCTAGAGTACAACTAAGTAGAACAAATTTTAAAAATTAAAAAAAAAAAAAGAAATCAGGACCTTAAAAATATAAAATAAAATATAACAAAATGCACGTTCCCGTTCCTTAGCTTTTCTGGTCCTCACAGTGACCCTGCATCTTAATGGGGATCCCCATTTCACAGGCAAGGAAGCTGAGACTCAGAGAAATCCTCACTCACCCAAAGTTACCCGGTCCACAAAATGGAGAGGAAGGATTTGAACCCACGTGTATCAATCTCCTGCCTCCCCCTGGTTGGTGCCTAAATCTGAGTCCCCCAGGGCTGACTGGACGTGAACCACTTTAAGGTTCTAGAATGGTTTCTGAGTGAAATTCGAAATGAAACTCAGATGCTCCTTGGCTTCTCAGCAAAGTGCTCCCTGGAGCTAACTCTGCTCTCTCCTGCCTCAGCTCAGAAGTAGTTTCTGACGTATCCAGGCCTGTTGGAGTCTTGGGGATCTTACCGGCCCACCCAGCTTCCCTGAGTGCTGTGCAGGGGGCAAGGCCAACCTAGGCAGCAGCCCAGGCAGCAGGATCCTGCGGTTACGGAGGACTCAGAGTGAGGAGCATCTTGGTTCTGAGCAGTCGTTGCAGCAGGATTTAGAACCAGGGGTAGACTCCGGATGGGCTGGGAGCTGCTAAATTTAGCCTGGGCAGCAGGGTCCCAGCAGGAGGAGAGGCAGGGCTCAGGGCTGTGGGAGGACCCCTGGGCCCAGGAGAGGGGTCCAAGGCCAGAGACTGCCCCACAGCAGAGCCCCAGACAGTCTACTCCAGCTACATTGTTTAAATATGTTATAAAAAGAAGGTGTTTATGGGCTGGGACTGTAACTCAGGTAAAGCATTTGCCTAGCTTGTTGGAGGCCTGGGTTCCAGCCGAGTACCAAGAAAAAGAAGAAGAAAGGCATATATTTATGTATTACTTGTAATGTTAAAAAATACTTTTAAAATAGCAAAAGGTCAAAAGCAACTTAAGTGACCGTCCCTAAGAGCTAACTAAATTCTGGCTGTGCATACAATGGTACAATGAGTGGCCATTAAAAGGAACAGGGAAGCCAGTTGCCCTGGCACCAGCCTGTAATCCCAGCAGCTGGGGAGGCTGAGACAGGAGGATCATGAGTTCAAAGTCATTCTCAGAAAAAGTGAGGCACTAAGCAACTCAGTGAGACCCTGTCTCTAAATAAAATACAAAATAGGGCTGGGGTTGTAGCTCAGTGGTAGAGCACTTGCCTCGCATGCATAAGGCACTAGGTTCGATCCTCAGCACCACATAAAAATAAATAAATAAAATAAAGATATTGTGTTTGTCCACAAATAAAAAAATATATTTAAAAAAATACAAAATAGGGCTGAGGATGTGGGTCAAGTGGTAGCACACTCGCCTGGCATGTGCGAGGCACTGGGTTCGATCCTCAGCACCCACATATAAATAAAGATATTGTGTTCACCTAAAACTAAAATAAAAAATGAATATTGAAAAAAGCTAAATCTTTTTAAAAATTACGAAATAGGGCTGGGGATGTGGCTCAGTGGTCTAGTGCCCTTGAGTTCAATCCTTGATACACAAAAAAAATAAAAACAGCGAGCACTATATAGCTATATAGACAGATATGGAACAGTTCTCAAAATAGGCTGTTAAATGAAAAAGAAAAGTATTGAAAAGATATATGTGTATATGCTTTTTTGGGGGTACTGGGGATTAAACCCAGAGATACCCTAGCACTGAGCTGCATCCCAGCCCTTTTTATTTCTTATTTTGAGACAGGGTCTCGCTAAGTTGCTGAGGCTGGCCTCATGATCCTCCTGTCTCAGCCTCCCAAGTCCTTGGGATTACAGAGATGCCCAGAGCCTGGCTGTACATATACATTTGTCCCTGTCACTGTACAGACTCTTTAGAAGGACATGCAAGAAATGCATAACGATGGTTAGCACTGAGAAATAAACAAGGCTGAGAGAAGATATATATTTTAGACTCATTTACTTATATCTTTTTAATTCAGTACCATAAACGTGTATTATCTATATTTTCATTCCTTCACTTGTTAAATTTAAAACATGAATAGCCACCAGGCCTCCTAATCCATGCTTTGTTCCACCTGGGTTTTCCCGGTCTCATCCCTGCTGGGGCCCTATCCCCTGCCCCAGGAGACTGGGCAGCAGGGCTGCATGGCCAAGCTGGGGCATCCCTCTGGGATGGGGACTCTGAGAAAGCGGGCCAAGGAGTGACCTTCATCCTGCCCCACAGAGCATCAAGGCCAACCTGAGCCAGGAGAACGAGGTGGTGAAGGAGAGCGTGCGCCATCTCACGGAGCAGCTCAAGAGCTACGAGAACCACTCGGACATCATGATGAGCATCAAGAAAGAGCTGTCCAGCCTGGGCCTCCAGCTACTGCAGCGGGACGCAGCTGCTGTCCCTGCCGCTGCCTCCGCCACGGGCCCGGGTAGCAAGGTTCAGGTAAGGCTCCAGCTCTGACCACAGGCCAGAAGGTGACAGGAATTGGTGATGGGGACACAGGGACTTAGCCCTCAGGGCCAGCTTCGGGTAGGCTTGGGGCTGTGGGACAGGCTGGAGGACAGGCTGGAGGGTCCACGGCAGGCAGGCAGGCGAGGGTGGGGGGCTGCTCTGGGCCCGCTGGGGCAGATGTGCAGATTTGGCCAACAGGCCGGTCAGGTGTTTGGTAATATTCTTATTTCCAAATTTCCAAACTAGTAGGGATAGAGTTGTGGACTAACACTCCCCATCTGGCCTCAAGAGACCAGGTCAGCTCTCCTGCAAAACTGCCTTGAGCCACCCCAGCTCTGGCCAGGTTCCTGGCCGGGTTGTGCCTCTTCAGTGGGATGCGGGCAATGCCTCTGTAGAGTGACCCTGTAGAAAGACACCAGTTCCTCCACCCGTCCCATCTTCAAGCTCAGCACAGAGTGCTAACGTGTCTCAGTGCAGATTTGAGGAAGGTCCACCCTGCAGGCATACTGCAAAATAAAGTCCTTGCACTGGACAGGTCAATTACAAAGAGAGGCGCCTTTGGGTGGATAAATTGAGCAATGTCCTTCCTATGATGGACACGTGTCCGGGCCCCTCAGTCAGTTGCCCGCCTGCCTGGGGGCAGGACACAGCCCGGTGACCTTGGTTTTTGGTGAGCAGCAGAAGCCACCTGACATTGCTGGAATTTCTGCTCTGAACCTGACTTTCTCATAGATGTTATCCATTAATTCCAGAGCCACCTTGGAGGAGGGTTGGCCCTGGCTGTTTGACTGACGAGAATGCAGGGAGAGTGGTCACGCAGAGAGCAGGTGGCTGCGTGACTGCCAAGCCCCAGCCCTTCCTCACCACCCCTCAGCCTCCTGTGCTGACATTGTGATAGTGGGGCCATTTGTAACTGCAGCTGGACCGCCTGAGTACTGAGAAGGCACAGAGGAAGCCTGTGCCTTGGCCCAGTGCTGGCTTCCTGCTCTTTCCAGTGCCAGCTCCGCAGGCGCAAATGAGTGCTGTTTTGGCAACCGCACAGAGGCAACCCGATGCTGTGCTCGCCATATCTGCCGGAGCTTCTGCCTAACAATGGGTGATGTCACAGGTCCTGTGTTCTTGTGCCAAGCCGGCATCAGAGGCATTTGAATAGGAAGTGAAAATAACAAAATCACAGACATTAGAAGTGGCACGTCCTGGGGTAGTGGAAACAACTGCACCAGTTTGCCTGGGACTGAAGGGTTTCACAGGATGCAGGGCCTTCATTGATAAAACTGGGAGTTCTGGACACATTAGGAGTAGTTGGTCACCCTGCACAGGGACCCAAGAACCTCTCGCCTGCCCACACACTAAGACCAGTAAGAGAGACCAACCTGGGAAGCAGGCAGGTGAGGCTGCCTCTGAGGAGCCAGTCTTATCTACCCCCAGGCGAAGAGAGGACAGAAATTGGGAAGAATGGGACAGGAATCTAACCTCTCAGGTTGGATCTCAAGTCTGCAAGGGAACTAGAGGAGCTTCAAGGAGAAACGGAGGCAAACCAGTCATGGGTGTCCATTGTAGGAGGGAAGGAACGCAATGCCTTATGAACACCTGGGATGAAGGGTTTGAAACAACATGACCATCCCCAGCCCCCACATGCTGTGCTCTCCTGACCCCCACAACATTCTCTCTACTGTTTCCCAAGCCTGAGACTTCCCTTCTCGCCCAGGACACGGCTGGAGGGAAAGGCAAGGATACCAACAAATATGGCGGCATGCAGAAGAGCTTTGCAGACAGGGGCCTCCCAAAAGTGCCTAAGGAGAAGCTGCTGAAGGTGGAGAAGCTGAGGAAGGAGAGCAGCAAGGGCAGACTCCCCCAGCCCACAGCCAAGCCCCGAGCTCTGGCCCAGCAACAGGCCGTGATCCGGGGTTTCACCTACTACAAGGCAGGCAGGCAGGAGGGGACTGAGGCCATAGCTGGTGAGTTGGAAGGGAGGAGGAACTTTGGGGAGTGGGTCCTTGCTGAGAGACGGCCTCCTTCAGGGATCCTCCTGTTCTTCTCTGCACCCAGATGGCCCCAGATTCCAGCTCCATCCCTTGCTTACCTGTGGCTCCCCTTTGTTCATCCACACGGGGCCTAATACCCTCTCAGGGGGTTGTTGGGAATAAAATGATAGGCCCCTGAGGGGTGTCCTAATCCTACTCCCCCTTTCTGGGTCCTGCTGACCACTTTGTCCAGTGAAACCCTCTGTGGGGCCCATGTCCAAGCAGGGAGGGAGGTGGGACAGTCAGGTTCCTGTTTCCTTCAACACCCCCTTGTTTTTTGGCCTCTCAGAGCTCAGGGCTTTCTTCCCCCAAACCCTGGTGCCAGCTGCTGTCCATGATCCCTGCCATGTCAGCCTGGCCACAGCACAGGACCCCTGACCCTGGCTGGGCCACTGCCCAGGAACAGCTGCAGGCATCTGACTCTACCAGCAAGGCCCGTGGGAAATGGGCCCTGGGAGGCTGCCGAGGCCAGGTCCCCTGCAGCTGCCCCTGACTAGAGGGACTGTGCCCTGGAATTGAGTCTAGGACATGAAAGAATTGGTACAAAGTGCTCGACACTGAGAAAAGGGAGGAACCTCGTGTTTGGAAGCACACATTTGCCAGGACCTGTATAAACATTTTACATATATTTTTCCTCTAACCAGCACAGTAGCCTATGCTGGTGGGCCTCGCGGTGCTCTTTTCACACAGGTGGAAACTGAGGCCTCCAAGGCAGGAAGACTTACCCATGAAAACTGTCCCACAGTGGGGGCCGTGGAGCTGGGCCTGGGGCCTGCCCGCTGGCCAGGAAGACCTCCCGCCTCCCACTTCAGAAACTTTCACTTCCCCGTGTGGGGGGACCTTTAGGAGGCCGCTCCTTCCCTGGCCCGTGGCTCTGCAGCTGCCTGGGGGGCCTGGGGTGAGCGGGAGTCTTCTCTCTGCAGACAATGCCCTCAAGGGCACTTCCTGGTTGGAGCAGCTGCCAGCCAAGGTGGAGGGCAGACCCCCCGAGGGCAACTCTGCAGAGCTGGAGCGGGACAAGGCTGGACCAAGGGCCTCAGAGGGAGTCAACCTGGGCCCCGACACCTCCACCTCATACCCTGCCACCACCACCAGCCCAGCCCCCACCACCAGACCCCTGCCCACGGAGCCACCTTCACGCCCAGAAGCCTCTCGCCAAGGTGAGTAAACCTCGTGGGGATCAGCGGACTACAGCCCGTGGCCAAATCCAGCTCCCGGCCTGTTTGTTGGGCCTTCAAACTGAGAAAGGTTTTTACATTTTTAAAGAGTTATTAGAGCTGGTGAGACATCGTACTCCTGTGATACCAGGGACTTGGAGCTGAGGCAGGAGCATCCCAAGTTCCAGACCAGTCAGGGCAACTTCATGAGCCCCGTCTTCAAAAATAAACGAATACCTACGTAGACAGGGCTGGGGGTGTAGCTCAGGGGTACAGTGCCCTGGGTTCAATCCCCAGTACTGGGGGGGGGCGATAATCCAGCATCTATTTTCATTTCTCGGTTTGGCGATGCTGTCTGTTGTTTCTGCCCTGCTGGGAACTGAACCCAGGACCTCAAGCGCCCAGCCAGTGCTCTGCCACTGAGTCGTACCTCCAGCCCTCTCTGGCTGTTTTTATGTCCGCACATACTTTTGACTTATGTCGCAGAGTAGAAATCGTCAGGGAACCCTGGATCTCGTCCCTGCTTGGTCTGGTGCTTGCGCTGGCAGGCCTCTCTCTTGAAGATGCTCCAGCATCGTGGACGACAGCTGCCTCACGGTGCTACTTCTAGAGCACTGACACTGTGGGGAGGTCACACAAAGTAAAGGGCACAGCTGTCTGGTGGCCTGACAAGACCCAGAAACCACACCACTAACAGGCTACTTGATGAGGTGAGAGATTGCTCGGTGGAAAGAGAAAACAGAATGCAAACTGTGTGCTCAGGAGAATCAGGTCGTGAGGTACGTCCGCAAGGCTTACACGCAAAGGAAAAAAGAAAAGGAAGGAAATATGGCATGGTTAATAATTATCTGGATAATGAAATTTCTTTTTAGGACTTTATTTTCTTTAAGGATTCTTAATTTGTAAAAATTTTAATGGACAAATAAAAACTGTATATAGGTATGGTGTACAACATGATGTCTGGGTACAGGTACACATACAGAATGGTAGATCAGACTAGTCATCATGTGTCGGATCTCACATACCAGTTTTTGTGTTTAGAACACTTATAATCTACTCTCTGAGCAATTTCCAAATACCCAGTGTACCAAACTCATTCCTTCATCTACTAAACTGAATCTTTTGAGCACCACTTCCCCATCCCCTGCCCGCTGGTCATCACCATTCCACTCTCTGCTTCTGCGAAGTCGACTTTTCTAGATTCCACCTATAATAGATGTAAGGAATTTTGAGTCCTATTTACTTTCTCCATTCTCCTTTTCTGAATGTTCCATGTTTTATTTGTTTGTTTGTTTGTTTGTTTTTTGGGTACCAGGGTTTGAACCCAGGGGCACTTAACCACTGAGCCACATCCCCAGCCCTTTTTATTTTTTATTTAGAGACAGGGTCTCACTGAGTTGCTTAGGGCCTCACTAAGTTGCTGAGGCTGGCTTTGAACTCACAATCCCCCTGTCTCAGCCTCCTAAGATGCTGGGATTACAGGCGTGTGCCACCGTGCCCAGCAATGTTCCATGACCAGGTTCCAATGACCAGGCATTGGTAGATCATGGGGAAAGAAAAGATCACAAACAAAACATCAGGAAGGACTTAAGTTAGACCCAGATCTCGATCCCTGGGTCATTGCTCTGGCTTGGAGCCTGTGGGCCTCCGTACCAGATCCTGTACCTTTTGTTTCCCATAGGCAGGGAGGCCAGCTGCGAGGGCACCCTACGGGCTGTGGACCCCCCCGTGAGGCACCACAGCTATGGGCGCCACGAAGGGGCCTGGATGAAGGACCCTGCGGCTCGGGATGACAGGATCTATGTCACCAACTACTACTATGGAAACAGCCTGGTGGAGTTCCGCAACCTGGAGAACTTCAAGCAAGGTCAGGGACCAGGATGTGGGAGGGGGCAAGGTGTGGCAGCCTGGGGACAGCCCCTGGAAACTTGGCCCTCCTTTACCTTGTGATTTCCTGTGGTCCAGCCAGGTCTAGCTCCCCATCACCAGCTCCCCCAAGGAAAGGAGTCTGGGGGCGCTGCCCTGGGGGCCCAGCAGACCCCATGGCACCTGGCGTGCTGGCACTGTGCCAGGAGCTACTCTGCAGGGGCAAACAAGTCAGATGCAGCCCTGCCACAGGAATATGACTTACCACTGAGGGGGACAATGACTGTCCTCCAGTCGAGTGCCTGCCGTGGGCTGATTACCCACACGTGCCAGCTCATGGCATCTCCTAAGTCTCTGGGGTGAGAGTTATTTCTCAGGTAAATAGGCCCGGGGCCTGGGATCTGAAGGGCTGTTAGCACAGGGAAGGGCAGAATTTCAATTACCAGATCTGGGACCTGATGGGGGAAAGGGACCACTTAGACATGGCCTGCCCTCCAGAGGTCACAGTCTGCAAAGGGAGGCAAAGGCTTGAAGAGACAATTTCAGGATAGCCTTAGAGAGCTTCTGGCGCTGTGGGAAGCCAGGCTGGAGGTCAGGGAAGACTCCCAGGGGCAGCAATGGGCTGAGCAGAGTCCTGGAGGAAGAATAGGAGGGAGCCAGGCAAACAACACTGGCAATGACAGGAAGCGTGTGGCTTGGGGTTGGCGAGGCCTAGGGGAGGCCCCCGAGCACCCCGAGAGCCATGGAGTCAGAGAACAGACCAGAATACCTAGGTCTTTCTTCTGCCAGCTCAAAATTGACCTGGTCTCTGCCTGGAGCAGCTCACAGGCTGGTGGAGAAAACCAGCGATAAGAGTGAAGGTGAAGGGTCACAGGAGGCCAGAGGCAAGGTGCTTCAGCGCAGCCTGGGGAGGTGAGGGAAGGCTTCCTGGAGAAGGTCACGTTGGTTGAGCGTCCTGAAAGATAAGCAAGCATTCCCCACCAGACGGAGGGGGAAGGAGGGGGAACAGACAAAAAGATCTGCATGTGCAGAGGCCCTGGACTGGCTTCACTCTGCAGGGTGAGCCATTCCACGGCTAGGGACCCTCTGAGCCTGTGTCCTCGTAGGCACAGGGACGGCGTCAGCACCTCCTCATGGCCCCGTGGTGATGGCATAGGATCCTGGGTTCAGGCTCAGGCACATGGTACACTCTGGGTACTAAGTGCTTTGCCCCCACTTCCGAGCCCTTGCTGATCTCTCGGGGTCACCGTGGGCTGGGGGTGGTCCAGGAGGCTCTGGTGTGACCGTGGCCCTCCACTGTGCAGGCCGCTGGAGTAACATGTACAAGCTGCCCTACAACTGGATCGGCACTGGCCACGTGGTGTACCAGGGCGCCTTCTACTACAACCGCGCCTTCACCAAGAACATCATCAAGTACGACCTGCGCCAGCGCTTCGTGGCCTCCTGGGCGCTGCTGCCCGACGTGGTGTACGAGGACACCACACCCTGGAAGTGGCGCGGCCACTCGGACATCGACTTTGCCGTGGACGAGAGCGGCCTGTGGGTGATCTACCCCGCCGTGGACGACCTCGACGAGGCTCAGGATGAGGTGATCGTGCTGAGCCGCCTGGATCCCAGCGATCTCTCTGTGCACCGGGAGACCACGTGGAAGACGCGGCTGCGTCGGAATTCCTACGGGAACTGCTTCCTGGTGTGCGGGGTCCTATATGCTGTGGACACCTACAACCAGCACGAAGGCCAGGTGGCCTATGCTTTCGACACCCACACGGGCACCGACGCTCGGCCGCAGCTGCCCTTCCTCAACGAGCACGCCTACACCACCCAGATCGACTACAACCCCAAGGAGCGGGTGCTCTACGCCTGGGACAATGGCCACCAACTCACCTACACCCTCCACTTTGTGGTCTGAGCGGGGACCTGTGTTCACAGGAGAGGCCACAGTGGGCACGGGGGACTCCCCCCAGCAATTCCTGCAACCCACGGTCAGCAAGTATTTCTTGGGGCATCCGGGGCTGGGGGCTGGGCCTGTGGTAGCAGCCAGGAGAGCACCTCCTCAGCACCCAGCCAGTGACACTCTCTTCTTTGTGCACAGCACGTGCCAGGAGCTTGACCTGCACTCAGCCTTTCCATCCTCCCAACGCCTCCCTTGGAGGGTGAGGTCATCAAGCCCATTTTACAGATGAGGAGAATGAGGCCCAGAGAGATAGCAGCCCAGTTGGGATCAGGCAGGCTGTGTTCCTGTTGTAGCCTATTTTGCAGAAGAGGTGATTTCACCAAGCTCTCCCCCACCTCCAGCCCTCTCCCCTTATCTCCCCTATCCTCCCAGCCTCCCTTTGGGGCCAATGCACTGGTGTTCCATCCCGGGCCCTTGTTCTGGTTGAGCTATTGGTGGCCTTGGGCTTTGGGTCCCTGGGCCAATGTCTCTGCTTCTTGCCTTTGGCCAGCCCCCCTACCTCACCCCACCCTCTGTCCAGCCACATTCCGAACCTCCACCGTCACCTAGCCACTGAGCAGAAACCACGCCCCAAGAGAAAATCCTGGCCGCTGTCCGGAGGCCCCTCCCTCCTGCCCTCACTCCTATTCGCCCTCGTTCTTCAGCAGCAGCTTGTGTTTCTGCAGCAGCTGGGAAGGCCCCAGGCAGCTGGCCGAGCCCTGTCCACCCAAAGCACTGGCTTAGGCCTTGGGTCCCCTTCCTGGCCCTTCCTGTGGGGACTCGGGTCCTTTCTCTCTGGGCCTTCAAAGCCACAACCTACACACACTCAGGGATACCCCCAGGTCTGCCATGAGAAGGCCCTCAGCCCCAGGTGGGCTGGTCCAGGATGGCGCGGGTCCCTTTTCCTGGTCAGTCTTGGCCTGATCACTGCTGGGGCAGCTTTTCCTGCCTTCAAAATATTGGTCCAGGGCTGCCTCGAGCCCAGGATTTGGGGCTGAGGATTCCCAGGTGGGCCACTTGGTCTGGTGCTTCTGATGGCATCCCAGAGTCTCAGACCCGGGCAGCCCAGACCTTGAAATGACAAGACCTTTAAACCTGATGCTCATTCCTCCAGACGGGAACTTTAGAGCTGAAAAGAAGCTCTAGAGGAAGCTGCCTTGGGCTCCTCCCTTGCCACTTAAAGGAACTCCTTTTTTTTTTTTTGTCAAAAAGAAAATAGGCCCCCAAAGGCTTAGAAGATGGCTTCGAGGCACACACAGCCAGACTCCTTCCAGAAGGGCTTTGTCTATACCCTTTTTCTCCTGGCTCAGAGCAGCTCTGCCTGGAAAGGCAATCGGCGGCACCCAAGACACCTAGCACCTTTGAAGGTACCCACTGCCAATCCCTACTGCCCCTGGACCTGCTCCCTTCCCTGAGCCCGCCTGCCAGCTCCCTGCATTTCTGTAGATTTGAACACCCAGTTGCCCTGTTAGGGAGTTCAGCCGCCCGGCCAAGAGGGCAAGGAAGTGCATTTTGTTCGGAGAACCTTTCTCCCACCATTGTCAGGTGATATTGCTTGGCTTAAGCTAAAATTCACCCCTGGAATCAAGAGGGACAATGACACCCAGCCAGGCCAGGTCTGACTCATCGAGGAGGACACATCCAGCCTCCCCCACCCAACTTAGCCTCTTCAGGGGGCTGCGGGGCCTGGCCTTTCCCTCGGCCCTGGGTGTGGGTTTTACAAGGCTGTGTTTGTGATGTCATAGCCCAGCCATGTGAGTACAGGCCCCATTTCTTCATTGGCCTGAGACAAGGGAGCATTCGAGAGGGCTGGTTTTGAAAACTTAAAGGACAAGCAGCCTTGTTCTCCAAGGGACATGATGCTGGTCACGGTCCCCAAATATGCACCAGGCCCTTTCTGTTTTCAAGGCCCTTGTATGTGCTTTATGTGCTAAGGACAGCTCTTTTCCTTTACAGATGGTCACGAAGGAGTCCAGAGAGGTTAAGTCACTTGTCACATGGGCAGCTGAGGGGAGGTTCAGTGTTCAGAGTCAGGTGATAAAACAGTGCCACCCACAGGTCCTGTCCTCCTGGCACGGAGGAAGATAAATACTCTGAATGTGACCATGTTATTAAGCAAGGACATTGAAGTCACACAGTAGCTTAGCCTGTGGCAGACCTGGGGTTTCAGAACGTGTTCTTTGCCACCTGTGGCCACTTTAATGGCAGCTCCAGAAGCGGTGGTCATTGCTCTTATCCAGTGTGGCCAGGAGGGGAGCCACAAGAAGGGGATGGGGGCCAGCTTGTACAGAACCTTGCCTGCCAAGCGAGTCGTGTCTGGAGCAAAGTGGAATTTAAGTTGGCAGAGGAAAGGCAATTTTAAGATAGATTCTACATGGATTTTTTCCTGTCTGTGATTGAAGGTGGGGAAGGATGTGTGTCGTGGGGAGCTGGTACCAGCCCGTATCTGCCAACTTGTAGGCTCTAAAGGAAACCTGACCCTGTCAGCTATTTTTTTAAATCCATCTTGGGCTTTATTACATTTGGCAACAAGTACTTCAAACAAGGAAGGGCCTGGACCAGGGAGGGCCACCGTTTCTTACTGACCTTGGCTGTGAAGCCAAAGGAAGCGGTCTCATGTTTCCGAACAACGTGATGCGTGAAGGAGTTTTGGCTGCTGCCTTGGATTCCTCCCTAGAGATTTCCAGGCCTTATCATTATTTTTTCCCCTCGTGCTGGGGGTGGAACGAGGGCCTGGCACTTGCTAGGTAAATTCTCTATCACTAGGCCACACCCCCAGGCCCCCCGAGTCCCCAGGTCTTGAATTTAATCTTCGGACTCTGGGGAGGAGGGAAGATGCCTCTGCCTTGGGGCAGCAAAGAAGGGGAAGTCAGGCAGTTTTCCGGACCGATAGGAGAGTGCCTGAAAGCCCGTGTGTTCCAGAGCCCCTTTTGCTCCATTGGAGACAGCTGAGATTTCAGAAGGACACAGCGCTGTGCGGCTGTCAGAGATGGGAAATAGTAGAAGCCCAGGTCTGGAACCCAGCCTCACCTCTTCCATGCTACAAACTTGGGCAAATTCTTTACTCATGGGGAGGGACATTAACTCCTCATACAGCTGAGGACATGCAGCTTAGTGAGGACAGAGGGCAGCAGAAGACCCCACAGTCCCCTCCGAGAGCTGGAAGGCACCTTGACATGTATTGTTACTCATCCGCCCAGGGTCCCCCAGGGTGGCATCGTGTCCCCCTTTACAAGTGATGAGCCTCGGGTTCAGAGAGGTTAGGCCATCAGCTCAGGGTTCCTAACAGGTAGAGAGGCAAGATTTGAACCAGGTCTATTTTTAAACCAAAACTCCCAATTAACCGTTGTTAGGAATCTTATAACTAGTATGTTCTCTTCTTGGTTGTGGCTACTGGAAGCTCAATGTCAAATTTGAGATCATTTTGAACAACTGTACTGAGTCTCCTGCTGGACTCACTCCATTCTAGCTTTCCGCTTGCTCCTTTGCCTTGATCTTTTTATTTTTATTCTATTGTATTTTATATATTTTTGTAAGTTGCCACAATACTTTTTTTTTGCATCAAGGTGGCCTATGTATAAATAAAATCCATCACTGAAAGCTTAATTTAAAAGTCTTAACTGAATACCGTGGTCCAGGGCTGGGGCATGGCTCAGGGGCAAAGAGCTTGCCTGGCCTGTTCGAGGCCCTGCGTTCCAGCCCCAGCACCAAATCAATCAATCAATAAACAATAAATGCTATGGTCTGTATCTTTATCATAACACATTTAGTAACTTTCTTAAAGTTTTTCATTTGCTGGACAAAGTGGCCTTGCTGCTCCATGGGTCCTAGGATCTAACAAGAATGATGAGCTACACAGAATTCAACTGGCTAAAAACTAGACCCTCTCGGGGAGAAGTAAGGTGTGCCATCATTAAAGGTGGGCAGACACTGTCCACTGTCCCAGTCACTGTCCCCAGCTTCATGTGAGGGCTGCAGAGAGAGAACTGCTGTTTCCACAAGCTTCTGGGTCAGGATGTGGAGCTGAGAAAGAGCTAAGAACAAAAGGAAGTACTTCCCGGGAAATTTGAGAGGAGCCTTGGAAAGCTCTTAAGCCTACGTTTCCCAAACTTCTGTCTCTTGGGTACCCTCCCCACAACTTTCCTCATCTCTTTTTCCCATCTGCGGGATGACACTGTTTCTCTTCAGATGATTCCATTCTGCTTACTAAAATAATTTCATTTCCAAAGGAAGCTTCATAAGTGGTCAGCCAAACGAAACACAACAATTTTTTTAAGGGAGGAAGTTTACATTACAATTATAAAAAGAAAGTCAGTATCAGTGACCATGAACACACAATGATCACAATCAGGGATCAAATGGCACTGTTACCTTCTGGTCTGCACTATGCCTGCTAACCTCCAGGACCAGTCACCTCCCTTTGTTAAAAAAAAAAAAAAAAAGAAAGAAAAGAAAAGAAAAGGAAGATTATGGTAAACCCAGCAGCTCAGGAGGCTGAGGCAGGAGGATCATGAGTTCAAAAGCCAGCCTCGGCAACTTAGCAAGGTGCTAAGCAACTCAAAGAGACCCTATCTCTAAATAAAATATAAAAAAGGGCTGGGGATGTGGCTCAGTGGTTAAGTACCCCTGGAGTCAATCCCCAGTACCAAAAAAAAAAAAAAAAGAAAGAAAGAAAGAAGAAGATTATTATGGGGCTGGGCATGTGGCTCAGCAGTCAAGGGCTTGCTTAATGTGGACAAGGGCCACCACTGGGGAAAAAAAAAAGATCTGCAAATGTGGAGGGTAAAGTGAACAGCAAGCAGCAGCAGGAGAGCATAAATCGTCCTCGAGTAACTGGAGGGTGGAGCCCGGAGGGAAGGGCCCTCTCCCCTATGACTCAGTGGCCCTTGGCGTGGTGGCTGAGGTACCACCCAGAGCTGTCTCGAACCACTGATGAGCCACACAGACTTACACCAGCACATCCTCCTGCAGAGACACAGACACATGGACACACTGGGCCAGGGCTTCTCTCCCCAGCCCCCAACACCCGGGAGAGGGCCCTGCCGCTGCGGACCTTAGCAATAACAGGAGTCCGGCTCTCCACAGGACAGACCTGCCAGGAAGAGCACCACGGCTTCAGAGCAGGGGCTTCTGGAACCATGCCCCTCTCACCCTGCTTTTCCCCCACCCAGGGTTGACCCTGGTCCCATGCAAGCCAAACATGGTTGGGCTTAGGGTAAGTGGATCTGGCCTTCCCCTCAGGCCTATCACTGCCCCCCAGTGCTGTCCACTTCCCTCTGTCCACTGCCCCACCGTCTCTGGTCCAAGTTTCCAGCTAGCAGGGCTTTCTGGTACATGCACCTACACATAGCTGCCTCCTTTGTGACTTTCAGGTTCCTACTCCTCAGGGAGATTGTCACTTAGGATGAGTCTGAAGTTAGCCCCGTCCCATGAGCCAACTTGCTTGGGTTCTGTCAGAACAGAGCTTGTCCCTCGCTAGGCCAGTGCCTAGGAGTCCCAGTGAACGTCTGCAATCAGAGTGACCTGCCTCAGCATGGGCAGGTTCTTTGGGTGTCCTAAGCAAGCCACACTTGGCACTGAGGTTGTGGCCACTGGCTGAGCCACGCTTCTTTCATTTATTTGTTGAAGCCGCCCAGAAGTCAGGTTCCACCTGGAAATCTCTACAGCTTCAGACAGCTAAGACAGGAGAGCAGAGAGAAATATGAAAACCCACCTCCGGGGGAAACGCCTGCCTAAGACCCCACCCTGGACTGCAATGGTGACATGCCCAGCAAGGAAAGCTGTGGCATTTCCCTTGTCTGTGACAATACGACCATCGTGGGGCTGGGCGAGGCAGCCTGTGGCTTTGAATCCTGATTCAGAGTTTGAGGTCACTCTGGTTATATAGCCAGGGCCACAGAGCTGGGTGGGCCCGGGCTGCCCAGGCCTATCCCTGACTTGTCAGCTTGGTCCAGGAGAGCAGAAGAGCAGCAGGAGGCCAGGGCAATGTCATGAAGCTGGCATGGGAGTGCCCAGGGAGCAGAGGCTGCTGCTACAGCCATGACCAGTCCACTCCCTGCTCAGAGGGAGGCTCTGCCACTGCCCTGCAGGTCTTCAAGTCACACACCGTGGACTGTCCACCATGACTGCTCCCTTCCACGTGGGAGGCGCAGGAGTGCCAGGCTGAAATGTCTCCTCATGGCCCTTGAAAGCTCTCTGGGAGGCGGGAAGCAGCTATCAGCCCAGGGAGTTCTTGGTGCTGTAAGAGCAGAGACCCCTGGAATCACAGGAATCCCTCCCTGGGGACCAATGAGCCACCACCCCAACCAGTTTACATGTCAGAGCAAAAGGAGCCGCCTCTGGTCACCACTGATGGTGTGGTCCTTGAAAGGGATCTCTTTGCCCTTGAGATTTTCTCCCTGGGACTTCAAGGCCCTACAGTCTGCCCTTGGCCAGGGTGGGACAGAGAGAAATAATAGGGACCATCCGTGGGAACTGCACCATGAGAGCAGAGCTGGGCTCTGGCCCAGCACGCTGCGGAATCTACAGTGCTATCTCCCGGAACCCTCCCAGTAACCAGTGAGAACTGTTGCTGCCCACGTTTCACAAAGGAGAAAACTAAGGAACACACTGCTATGTCCCATGTTCAAGGTCACAAGCTGGTGGTGGCTGAGCTGTGGCACCACTTTCTCAAGGCTTCTCATCAGTGGCTCTTGACCCCCCCTCCTGTCACCTCGCGTCAGAATCCCTGGAGAGTTTTAAAAGATGCTGATGCCCAGGTACCACCCAGACCAGTACTCCAGAGTTGTGGGGAACAAGGACTGGGATGTGGTGGGTGTTAAGATCCCGCCAGGAGAGTATGCCAGGCATCCTGGGTGGAGACCCCGAGATGGAGACCTCAACCTGCTACCCTGAAGAATGCACTGCGCTGCCCTGGAGACGGCATGGTGGGGTGGACCTGGAGGCCCTTGTCATAAAAATCTGAAAAAGGGGAGACGAGTCAGATGACAGGCCGCATCCAGGCTGCCCTTGGAGAAGCAGAGAAAGCAAGCCCTGGCAGGGGTGGGGGTCAGCTATCTCTCCGCAGCAGGGTGTCTGCATGGCTGGGGGGCTCCTGAGGCACAGAACACAAAGGCTCCCTCTGGCCCCAGGCAGTACCCAGACGCTGCCCCTCCCTTCCAACCAGCCTGATCTCTGCCTACGTCCACGGCCAGCCTGCGACCTCTGACATTCCTGCAGGGACCCAGTGAGGCAGAACAGAGGGGGCTTTCAGAACTGGTGCCTGCTGGCAGGGTGAATTATCACCCAGAATTATCTGCCATGAGCACAGGGTGGCATTTCACGTGCCAAAGGTTGGCTGGCCCGGCCCTGGCCCTAGCTGCTTGGCTCCAGGGCTCTCATTCCAACTGTGCAAGGACAGAAACCTTATTCTCTTCCCTAGCAAAAGGCCTCCACCCCTCACCATCTGTGCAGAGCCTCCCCCCAGCCCAGTCTTCCCTGACCCCCACCCCGGGGCCAGAGCCTTCCTTCCTTCTGGCTCAGCGCCAGAGTGGATTAGACAGAGTGATTCAAAAGTCAAGTTCCCAGGTTTTTTATTTAAGCCAGGAATTTTATCAATCTCAGTTTAAATCCTGATTCTGCCACCCACACCCTGTCAGATGGGAATGACAACCTCCATCTTCCAGGAACGTTGTGAGATGGTAGTGAGATTGTGGTCGTGAAAAAACTTGGAGAATGGGAACATGGGGGACACTCAGGAAGACGAGGCACCATGCACCTTACCTGAGCTCCAGGGGCAGCTTATGAAGTCAGACCCAAACCCTGGGCCCACACTCCCAAAATCAGATCAAGACGTTGCTGCAGCCCAGGGACCTCACTCAGTGCCACCAGCAAGTTGAACAACCTGCAGGGAAACTCCCGGTGAGCCCCGGAGTGCAGCCTGGTGATGCTGCCATCCTGCTCACCCCAGCTGCACCTGCCAGTTCATCCTGCGCCGCCGCAGAGGGGAACTTACCCTGGCCACTCTCCTGAGGGCCTGAAAGCTTCCAGGTACCGCTGTGTCCACATGGTTCTTGTCCATGCAGGAGGCCCAGCAGGAGGCCAGTAGGGCCTCCTCCCCAAGCCCCTCACCCCCAACTCTTGCTGTTCTCCTACAGACAATCAGATCTGTCCAAATTTCCATTTCACAAACATCTACTATGAGCTCTGACTCTGCCAAGGGTGGGGACAAAATGAGGACTCAGGTAGTGCCAACAAAAGAAAAGCACACAGTAAGATTTTGCTGGATATTGCCAAAGAAATCACCAGAGAATGGTATGGGGGTTGGAGCTCTGTCCCCATTCATAATCTCTCTCTCTCTCTCTCTCTCTCTCTCTACTGGGGATTGAACTCAGCGGCACTTTATCACTAAGCTTCATCCCCAGCCCTTTTATTTTTTATTTTGAGATGGGACCTCTCTATATTGCTGAAGCTGGCCTCAAACTTGTGATCCTCCTGCCTCAGCCTCGTGAGTAGCCTTTTTCAAAGGCTCTTTGACACCAGTAAGAGCCCAGATTTTTGCTCTCTTTTTGTTCGGTCACCGTAACCTGTTGGCCTCATCCTCGGGGGTTCAAGATGGTTGTGACAATCTGGATATCACATCCTCACCATTGGTATCTGGATGCAGAAAAGCAATTGGCTGGTGCTTCCCAGAAGTCTCTCTGCAGACCTTTCTGGTTCCTTTCCTCTTCTTATCAGACCAAGTCACATTCGCTCACCCATC